CTTCAGATCTGTTAGAATGGTAAAGCAGCTCATTGGTGGGGAAAAAGCCGCATTTCCCTCTACACTTCTCCTGTTTGTCAATTGTTTCTTTTCTGGAGGTCCATAAGTTATTTGTGTCTCCCAAGTGCTGTGTTGAAGATGATTGGAAAGAAAAACTTCTGAAATTTAACAACTTACAAGAACTTTACTTCCAGGTGGCAGGAAAGAGAGATCTCTATCAGATTTGTGTTAAAAAAGCTTATTTTGAGCAGATCAAAGACAGAGCTGATACAAAGTGGAGAAGATTTTTAACCGTCCCTGCTGAACTTCCTCCCTCTTGGAGGCTTTTTTATAAAGGTCCTCTGCCTAAACGATCTGGAGATTTGCAGTGGAGATTATTACATTGTGCATTGCCCACTAATTCTCATACTTCTAAATTCAACCCAAACGTTTCCTCATCATGCAATTTCTGTTCCTTGCCGGAATCTGTTGTTCATGCTTTCACTGAGTGTTTCAGATTGGACCCATTATTTTGCTTTGTTAAAAGTCGTACTACTGAACTTAGGTTTTGTTTTTACCAAAACACTCTTTGTTTTTGGGTGTAAATACTTAAGAGTGCATAGACAAAAGTGTACGGTAACAAATTTCACAATTGGACAAGCTAAATTAGCCATCTGTAATCATGTAGACTAGCTGCTGAGGGGCGAAACGTAAATCTTCTTCAACTTTTCTTAGCCTTGGTGGAATCCAGAATAAGAACAGAACATCGATTCTTTCAAATGACAAATAATTTGCTTGAGTTTGAGTTTAAATGGTGTGTTAATGGGGCTTTGGTGTCAATTTGTGAGTATGGGAAAATAATATTTAACTGGTGATAAATGATAATTTTTTTGTGTAATTACTGATTTTGGTGTATAGCTTTTCTATTATATAATTTTTATTTATTTATGTATATATATTTAGATTTTTGTTTTTCCACCTCTTTTGTCTCCTGAACATGTTTCAGTGTGACTTGTTCAGTGACACACACGCATGCACACACACACACACACACACACACACACACACACAGACACAAACACAGACTTTCTATCACACACACATGCTTTATCTGTCACACACGCACACAGCTGCTGACTGCTCCTGCAGAGGATTCTGGGTAAATCTCTCGTCAGTCTTCAGCTCAGTTTCACTGATGATCCAGAACCAACAGTAAACCCAGGGCAGAGCGGCTCAGTGAATGTGGTCTGGACTGAGTGGATGAGGCTCATTGTGTCTCTATAGATGTTGTAGAAGATCAGAGTTCCTGCACTGTGATCCACAAACACTCCTATTCTCCTGCTGAGCGGCTTCACTGGGAGATCAGTGAGTGTGTTATTGTGACTGAATGAGAAACTGGAGGAATCACAGATCAAACTCCAGGACTGATCATTACATCCAAACACACACTCAAGACCTCTTCCCTTCCTCCTGATGCTCTTATATGACACTGATATACACACACCAGCATCTCCACTCCAGTCAATCTCCCAGTTACAGCGTCCACACACACTCTCTCTGCACAACACCTGAGGATCATAATCAAATCTGTCTGGATGATCAGGATACGGCTGATTCTCCCATACATGCTTCACCTCTCTGTTCTCCTCAGACAGAATGAGTTGAGTGTTTGCTGTGTTTGGATCCAGAGTGAGGAAACAGACATCTGAACACAAGAACACACACATTTATAACCACAGCTGTGTGTGTGAGTGTGTGTGTATTCATGTGTCTGTGTGAGAGAGGGGTAGGTGGGGAGTGTGTGTGTGTTTTTTGTGTGTGCATGTGTTCACTGCTGTGTGTGTGTGTGTGTGTGTGTAAAACTTCAGAAATTTTACACTAGAGAGAGAGAGAGAGAGGGAGTGTGTGTGTGTGTGTGCATGTGTTCACTGCTGTGTGTGTGTGTGCATGTGGTAGGGTTGTAACAACATACCGGTATAACGGTCTACCACGATTTGAATGTGCACGATTATCATACCATGAACAATTGCATATCAACGTCTTAAGGAGCATATTGTAGGTTAAAAAACTGTTTAAAAAAAGGTAGAATCGTTTGTAAAAGTACTCTATAATACCATAAAATACCACATTAAAATGTTTTACGAAGTGCAAGGGCACAAATTTGAAAGAAAATGTGTGTTTTCCCACTTCCGCTTTTTTTTCTAACCACCCCGGTGACGTCAGTGCAGGGACTTATCTGACAGACGCGCGCTGTTTACAGTGGGGCAGAGGAGCTAATAGCAGAACTGGTTGTTAGTTTTGGCGTAATTTATTATCATCGTGGCATATTATTGTGTTTATGGAAACTGCACAAACTCCAGCCTGTCAACAGATCAAGTCCACAAGTTTCCTCTTGCTATTTTGGTTCGTGAAATGGGATGAATCCGATAAGAGTGATAGCTGACGCGAACGGCGAGAAACACTCCTGGATCAGTCGGAGATGCAGCTCGGTGAGCTGTACACGGTAAGACAACTCGTTTTTCATTTATGTTTGTCAACTTTCAAGTCCGTAAGCATTATTCTTTGAGTAATTTGAAGCAACGTGATGTGTTTACTTTGGAGTAGCCGATAGCACGGCTGCTAGCTTGTATTGTTAAGCATATTAAATATACTTTTTAAAGCGTGTAAAAATGTACACATATGATAAGACGGCTAAGTTAGTAGCATCAGTGTTCTAATATAATAAATGTCTTGTATAGTTACAGCGTTGTGACTGTTTGCTTTGTGGTGTGTTTATTAGACTTTGGGAGACAGATGATGACCCGGAGTTGTTTACCATATTACTTTTATTATAATGACTGAAATCACACGCAAATATGACTTAAAAACAACATTAGCACTATTAAACTGACAGTGAACAATGTTGTACTTTGATAGTCATTGGCTGCTAACATGATATTAGGGATTAGCAAATAATACTCTTCTGAAATTATATTATTAGGGAGAAAGTCAGAATGTGTGATTATAAAACCAATTTTCCCTCAGACATTCACCTCATTCATCGGGTAAAATATTATGACCCCTATCGTGAATTATTTGTGCATGGTATTATTTGATAACAAAAACTAGAAGGGCAAAGAATTACTACAATATTTATATATAATACAGGCAGGTAAACTCACACTATCTTTGACTTCCTTATTTTTTTTTTTTAAATATTGGAAACGTGTAACCATTGACTTCCATATCTGTTTTTCCCACTATAGAAGTCAATGGTTACAGATTTTTAGCTTTCCTCAAAATATCTTGGTTTGTGATCAACAGAAGAAAGTCAATAAGGTTTGAAACCACTTGAGGGAGAGTAAAAATATTCTGTCCTGTCAATGAGGAAAGGCACTTTTTATTCGCATATGAGGAATATTCATCTTGTAGAAGAAAAACAAATAACATTCAAAAAATTGAAGTTTGTTATTACATGCTCAACTTATAATGGGTACAGTCTACTGTATATGTGAGATGGTTTGCAGTTCACTATCCAGGGGTCTGCAAATGTGGTTGGGTTTTCTGTATTGTGTTATATTAAAAATCATATGGTGAATTTTAAAATATACAATATTATTAAACATGATTAAACTTTTGCATTATTTCCCCAGAATATATGCATCAGCCCTCACTGCGTGTCTGACGGTGGACTACTCGAGTTCATCACAGGCTCGACGAGAATGCAGAAGTGGCCACTACATTTGCTCTCCTTTCTAGATCCTTCCAGCGGGTTTACAAGGATGAAGCTGTCGGCATCTTTTTACACAGCATTCACAATTTAACACACATTAAAGACATGATGGTGTGGTACCCACATAAACGTTGGCCAACATACTGAAAAATTATTTTAGGTTTACTTTTAAATGGGTCAGATGATATATTTTCCTTTCAGTATACACACACTCACACAGATACTTATGCATAACGAATAAAAATGCTGGGTACTAACACTGCATATGATTTTGTGCTATATAAATAAAACTTGAACTTGAGTTGCATTTAGAATTTGAACTTGAATTAGGGTTGAAGTTTATTTAATCATAAATGCAGATCAGATCTGTTGATCAAATCTTTGTAAATATTTTATACTATAACAACTGTACTTGTCTTTTTATGGATAGTAGCCTAAATGGGATCTGATACAGATAATCTTATACCCAATGAAAAAATGACATATTTAAAAACTTATTTTAATTGTTTTAATATTTGATGTTGTTTTTATTTTAATACAAAAGCTCTGAAAACCTTTTGTAAAATAAAAAAGATTTTCCAGTACCTTGTTTACATGTTTCTGCATTATTCCAGACGTTCTGTGTTATTTGTGTTTTGTATTCACTTATCTACTATTAAAAATAGTGTCAATGTGGCATAACTGTGTTAAATGCTCATTAGTTTCTGTAACTGGTAAGTATTAATACTTATAGATGATCAATACTAGCTTTGCTCTTGCCAGATAAGATTTTGTTATCTTACATATCTCTCTGTAAGCCAACACTGGCCTCACCATAAACCTGCTCTATTCTCCCTCACAAAAGAGTTAAATTACACTTCTCTGACTGCTGTTCTGTCTGCTGGTCTGTCCACAGGCTTATAATTGTATGGCTGTGGTCTGTCGTTTGTGTGAGTCTCTCAGAATATCTTATCTCGGCATCCAAACGCGCACCACAATCAATTGTCTTCATAGTGTTTATTTGCGCGAACTCCCTGGTCCTACGTTACTTCCGGTCTGGCGATTCAGACGCGGAAGTAAATTTCCGTGACTTAAAACGACTCCAAACGGCTTAATAATAAACTTTAACGTTTATTTTAAAGAAAATCTAATTCTTACTTTACTCTTACACACATTGTCTCACTGGGGTGTCTAACCTACAATATGCTCTTTAAGGTCTGAGGAGTTACTGAAACTCTTACCACACCGAAGCTGCGGTCACACTAGAGTTTGAGCATGCAAAATTCTGTTGTATGGTGCTGTGAAAAGGGGTGGAATTAAACAAGATGATTAGACATTTTTAAAAAGTGAGTGATTGGTCCCTATTTTACATATCTGTCCAGAGAGGTCATGTTTTGATCTTCGATTGGTCTCACACAGTCAAGTGATGCGATTTCGCAGGTCAGAGTTCATAAAGCTTGAACTTTTCCACGCAGTGAACTGCAAAACTTGTGTTTTCGATCTGATGCATTTGCGTGCGTAGGAATGGAAGTCTATGGGGAGAAAAGTCCAGTGTGACTACAGCTTAAGTGCATGTGAATGGTTTCTCTCCAGTGTGGATCCTCATGTGTATTTTAAGGGATGATGGTTTGCTAAAACTCTTCCCACACTGAGTGCAAGTGAATGGTTTCTCTCTAGTGTGGATCCTCATGTGTTGATTTAAGTTTGATGATTGGCTGAAACTCTTCCCACACTGAGTGCATGTGTATGGTTTCTCTCCAGTGTGGATCCTCTTGTGTTTATTAAGGTGTGATGAGCAGTTAAAACTCTTCCCACACTGAGTGCATGTGAATGGTTTCTCTCCAGTGTGGATCCTCATGTGTAGATTAAGGTGTGATGATTGGCTGAAACTCTTCCCACAATGAGTGCAAGTGAATGGTTTCTCTCCAGTGTGGATCATCATGTGTTTAATAAGGTTTGAAGATAGGCCAAAACTCTTCCTACACTGAGTGCATGTAAATGGTTTCTTTCCAGTGTGGATCCTCATGTGTTTAATAAGGTTTGATGATAGGCTGAAACTCTTCCCACACTGAGTGCATGTGAATGGTTTCTCTCTAGTGTGGATCCTCATGTGTTGATTAAGAGATGATGATATGCTGAAACTCTTCCCACACTGAGTGCATGTGAATGGTTTCTCTCCAGTGTGGATTATCATGTGAATCTTAAGATTGCCTTTTTTTCCAAAACTCTTTCCACACTGAGTGCAGGTGCAGATGAAAGGATTACTGTCTCTCCTTTTTAAAATACCATCAGTCTGTAAATGTGTTTTTCCCTCAATTTTGACATGATGTTCCACCTCTTTACTCCCCTTATTCTCTTCAATTAGGTCTGAAATAAATAAAATAAAAAAAAACATTAGTTTTCATTAAGTCTTAAAAACTTTCATCAAAAGCTAAAAATTGAAAAGACACTAGAAACATTGGCTACACACACTGTAATTTTGATGCACATTAATTTGTAAAATAAATCAGGTCATATTGTGTTTGTTCAACATTTAGGCATATTCAATTCAATTCATCTTTATTTATCTAGTGCTTTTACAATGTAAATTGTGTCAAAGTTGCTTAAAGAGCATATTGTAGGTTAAAAAAACTTTCAAAAAAAGTAGAATCGTTTGAAAATGTGTCTGTTTTCCCACTTCCGGAAAGTCCCGGTGACTTCAGAAGAGTGAGTTATCTGACAGAAGCGCGCTGATTACAGTGGGGCAGAGGATCTAATAGCAGAAATGGCTGTTAGTTTTGGCGTAATTTATCATCATCGTGCTAGAGATCTGCACGGGACTAAATTTTGAATCCCGCCCGCACCCGCCAGGTTTTAGCCCGAACCCGACCGCTCCCGCTTATATTCAGCATTTGTTGTCCTGCTGCCCGCCCAGCCCCCTTCTCTACCCGCCATGCCCGATCCTGCTAAAGAGCGGGGGAGAACAAAATCAAAAACCACCCAGCTATATAGAGTCCAGACAGCCTATAACAAGCTGTCTGTATAAACACACACACATAAGCACCAAGCACACACACACAGACAAAGCTCTCTCTCTCATTCGCACTAACACACACAGCAACAAACAAGCAAGGAATCAACAAAAGACAGGAATCCCCAAACAAATACATTCATAAAAATATCTCCTTACAAGAGGAGAAAAACTCAAATACTACTACTAATACTACCACTAATAATAATAATAATAATAATAATCATCCCAATTTAAACTTACGCAAAAGAATAAACTTCCCACAGGAAGCCCAAATAAAACACACAAAACAATGGATTAAGCACAAATGAAGAAAAATAATAAAAGCACAGAATACATATGAACTCGCACACACACCCACACACAAATGTATCAGCTGCTATACCCTTATTGATACACAATTGACTGAATCCGTGTGTAAAGTTCACAATGTGAAGGCAAATAGCATCAGTGATTCACAGCGCAGTAGTTAGAATCTTCACATTAAAGTTTGCACATTAATCCAGTATCATATGATGAAAGCACGCATCAAAACAAACTCCAAGCAGCATACTCAAACAGACTTTAAAAGCAGCATCAATAAAAGCAACAAGATAAAAGCAGCAGTATCACAATTGTTGCTCCAGACTCTCCAACAGTCCGTCCCCCAATCAGTTATCCTTACTAAATGGATAACAATATGTTAAGTTAGTAATATTGCCCATATTGTACATGAAATAGGGTCATATTTTGGTTGTAAGGGTCTCCAACAACAGTCTAATATGCATGCAAGGTCAAAAAAACACTTTCATGGTCTTGTAATCTGCATTTATTTTTACCTAATTATCCCAGTGACTCCCGTATGAATCGTCCAGCGATTCATTTGGTCCCAAAACCCTCTTTAGCGCGAAGCTAATCTGCGCTGATTGGACCGATGACAGTCTGTTGCGATTGGTCGACACTGACTGCCTTCAGCGCGAGACAGAGTAAAATGCCCAACAGCTAATCAACAATATAAAAGTAGTCACAGTGCATACACGCTTCATAGTGTAAGGCGAGGATTTTGGCTGCCAGTGGGTGAATGTAAATACAGACAATGGACTTGAAAATAGCGATGACTAACTATTTTATTGAGCAAAAACTCCAAGAAATGGCAAGGAGATCTCCTAGCTTGTCATACTCTGCTCTTTTCAGACTCACACATACACACACACACACGCACGGTTATAAGTAACAAATCACAACTAAATATATTTGCAAGCTAGAGTAAACAAGGCAACAACTTTAATCGCACGTGCTTACACTTGGGAAATGGAGGAAGAAACCGGTCCAGCTTCTGACATAGTCAATCAGTAGTCTTTAGTCTGATCCTTCCTTTAACAAACGGCCGATGAAGTCTTCTTTGTAAGCATGTAGTTTCCAGAAGCACTCAAACTGCTCAAGGCTGGGCTATAATGCTGAGGTTTCATCTTTGGGTAGAGACTCAATAATATCCATCTGCACATTGCAGCTTCATTTGACCAGCAGGTTTGTGTTTGTGGCTTTTTCTTTGATAGTGAGCAGAGCCGCAGGTTTCAAATCTCCCGGGTTTGTGCGCGCAACTACTTGGTTTCGTTATCATGTCATGGCGAAACACCTAATGACTCGTTATCAAGATGACTTGTTTGAAGCACTATGGGTCGACTCTTTTATAGATGAATCAACAGTTTTAAACACTGTACACTTACAGATTTAAGCCTTAGCTGGATATTTAACTTCACTTAGAGCTGTGTTACACACTACATGGAAGGGCATTTTCAAAAAACCATAATATGCTCTTTAAAAAGCAAAAAGATTCCAATGGTGGCACCTGCTGGTACGTGAAGCATATGGTAAATACTGACGAACTTTACACTTAAATGTTTGCGTATCATCAGCATGCTGTAATCCATTTCTTAAAGCAAAAGTCATTTTTAGACTGGTTTGTTGGCCAGTTGTACTCAGTGCAATGCTAAACGTTATTGTTCCACAATCATTTGTTTGTTTTGTTTCACTTCGCCCCACAGCAACATCATATAATTTAGAAAACTGTACAATGTTTTATAATAATTAATTACTTTCATTAATTTTTTAATTTTATTCAGCATATTTAAAATTTGGGTCATCCACGTTTTCTGACATACTTTAAATCAGGGTTTCTACAGGTGTCACCAAGTAAAATTTAAGACTTTTATAGACATTTTTAAGACCATTATGAATGAAATTTTAGATTAAGGATTTTTTTCAAACGGCCCAGATGAAAAAATAATTTTATATATAATATTTAATAAATCAATAATAATAATAATGATGATACTACAATATTTTAGATATTTCTGATCAAAAGATCTAAAATATTGTGTAAAAACAAAAGAGCTCTACTTGGATCCACACACTTTTTTATCCAAAATAAACTTTCTATAAAATAAAAAACAAATGAACAAAAGTTTTAAAAACTATAATAAACTAAATCTACACACAACAATATGTCCAGGTCGATATCCTCAGTAGTCCTTACCATTATGATAAATGTAGTTAAAATGTGATTTTTTAAATTAAAAAGTTGAGATGGATTGTTGGTGATTGTGTGGCTTTTGGCCAGATTGGGTAGCAGAACATAGAGGTAAAGTTGGTTTTATATTCACACATTCGTTCATTTAGAAGCCTCTATATTGTTTACCATGTTACTTTGAATATTCAATAGGAATTAGCATGCAAGTGTGACTTGAAAACAACATTAACACTGTTTATTTGACTGTGAACAATGATGTACTTTGATAGTCATTGAGTGCTATTATGATTTCGCTATTTAGAGTTTGCAAATAATACTTTAAAGAAATTATATTATTAAGGGGAATGTCTGAATACCCAAATATAAAACCAACTTTACCTCTATTAGCAGAACATGAACTAAGGAAAATGAAGACTTGTTAAAAAAAAGATTTAAGACCTACAACAAAATATTTCAGTAAATTTAAGACTTTTTAAGGCCTAAAATTCTGAGTTGGTCTTTGAGAAAGAAAACCAACCTGTTTGTTCCTGCAGATCTTCCTGTTTGACTGTGAATGTTTCTTCAATCTTCACATCTTCACTCTCCTCTTTAATAAACGCCATCTTTATAACAGTGTGTAGATCAGTCACTTCAGCAGTTTTTCTGTGTTTGGACACTTTATCCTGTTTAAAATTAACAAAACAATGAACAGAAACAAAATAGCTTCACTTCAACACTTGCTTCAACAGTTTCTTTGTATGATAGAGGTAAAGTTGGTTTTATATTCACACATTCGTTCATTTAGAAGTCTCTATATTGTTTACAATGTTAATTTGAATATTCGATCTGAATTAGCATGCAAGTGTGGCTTGAAAACAACATTAACACTGTTTATTGGATTGTGAACAATGTTATACTTTGATAGTCATTGAGTGCTAATATGATTTCGCTATTTAGAGTTTGAAAATAATACTTTAAAGAAATTATATTATTAAGGTGAAAGTCTGAATGTGTGAATATAAAACCTACTCTAATATAAAACTTTACCTCTATGAAACAATTGCAACAAATAATCTGATAAAAACTAGTACTCAATTTCTCATATATAGTGATGTATACTTAGCATAGAATGACATTTTGCTATTTAATAAATTAAACCTTCATTAAAACACTTAATACACACATGTATGTTGTTCAAACAATAGCCCTCGATTACTGTTATTAAAATAGTACTTTGTTGAACGAAGGATTACAATAATAGTGAACAGCAGATACATAATATCGGAAAACCTGAAACTTGAATCAATTGGTTTATATCTGTGTAAAAGTTGTAAAACAAACCTTCCTCCAGTTGAATCACAGCGCAGGAGCGGCGCAGCCTTATGACGTCACACACCACGCCAAAATAAAAGTCTTTTTTGTTCAGCTTTTTTTGCCACTCACTGTTGCAGTCAGGACATAACAAATTTCTCCCTCGTTTTCCATCTCACACAACATATCTGCTATCTCTCTCACATACACAGACATTCAGTATTTGAAGTTTATCAAAACTTTTCATCCAAACATTTTAACACAATTTTGAAAAACTTGTTTAATCCACTAAGTCTAAGTTTTTTTATTTAATTTTTTATTTGAAATAATTTAACATCACAAAACAGGGAACAATCAACATCACAAGGCATATTTACTATTAAAATAAATAAAATAAATAAAAATTGTTACAACTGCAACAAGGAGCAAGGAGCTGT